CTCAACAGGGACGGCTTGGCGACCCGTGACATCCGACTCCCCGGTTGGGAACCAGTCTCTGTCCCTCACCAGCTCCACCAAGTGCACGAAAAACGGGTAGGGGACGCGGAAGTTGTTGCGAAAACGCCGCGCTTCCCGGGTCGTGTGATCTGTCTCGCCTGTCTCTCGCAGCTCCATGAGCTCCTGCCACCATCCCGACTTCGTGTAGTCTTTACGAACGTACACACGCCGCCTCTTCACCTCCCTCGACGCTTCATCGTCCTCTGTATCCAGCTCTAGATCGTCTTCGAAGTCTTCCATGATAACGTCCCAGACGGCGACGCTACGTTGCAGCTGCTGCAGGGAGGCAGTAGCTACCGCCGTGGTGGCGAAGGCAGCCGGCACATCGATACCACCACTTTCGGTTGCTGTCTCGGCCATTTGGCGGTGAACCACACGTCCCGCGGGCAATACAAGTGCACAGCCGAGGCGGGCGACGCCCAGCAGCCCTAAGAGCGCCGGCACTGCGACACGCATCTGCGGTAGCCGCTGTATTGTGCTGTGCTGTGCTGTGTGTGTGCGTGTGTGTGTGAGCCGGGCGGCGTAACCAGCGTTTGAATTGAATTTTTCGGGTGAGAAAATCCGGTTGGGCTTTCACCCGGATTCTGCATCAGAATCCGGGTGAAAGTCGACCGGATTTCTGAAACTGGAAAATGTTGACCCGAAAAACTAAAGAATCCGGGTCTATAAGAATCCCGATTTTGGCCATATCGGGATTTTGAGGTTTTTCAGGTCAAGAATCCGGCTCTATAAGAAACAGCCTAAGGATGCTTTTTTCGGGAAAAACCGTGTGCGTCGTTGAAGCGGGGTCGACTGCAGCCCACTGCGCTTCAATACTAGTGGCAGCGGTACGCATGCGCCCCACTAGATTTTTGTTCTTGATTTAAAAAACAGAAGAAAAAGGCAGGTAGTAGTATACACACAGAACTGACTCATGTAAGCGATCTGAAGGAGTAGAAGACGCCCCTCGTGTTGTTTTCTATCTCGCCTGGTTCGGCCAAGGCCCGAGCTGCACGGTGAGCCGGCAGCTGTCCGGAAAAACACACCGAGTCGTGACAAAGGCTCTCATGCGGTCCTGATTGAATGATCATCTACTTGGCTCTGGACCCCTGCAAAAAACATTCAGCAGTCCTCTAAACGGACATTAGACTATAATCTGAAAATGCCAATTGCAAAGCAACAGATACACGAACCTAGTACGACCCAGGCCCCGAATTGCACGTGAGCCGGCAGCGGTCGGGATGGACAGAACGTCTCGCGGGAACCCACATAAGAAAAGTGGTGCGTGCATCTTGTTCTTTCTTTGGTCCCCGCCGATAGGGGCGCTACATCTGACTCTACTGCTATACTCTGGACTACGTCCACTCCCAACGGAACTCGGAGCATCAAATACGACTGCTGCATGTATCATACAAAGTACGCCCAGAGAGTGCAATACCCCGCGCCTCATGTATGCAAATGAATCACAGCAGTGTGGACGCCACGACGACTAACGGCTCACCTGTTGAGATCCTCCGTCCTCAAGCCCAAAAGCATCGCGCTCCAGAGGTCTGCCCGAATAGGCTCGACGGCATCGTGTTCGCCGCATGCGGACTTAGGCGGCCGGGTTACGACGAGGCGTCTGATTTCGTCCAGGTCTTGGTCCTCGCAGCCCACCAACGTCCTCAAGCGCTCCACGACCCTAGCATACTCCTCCTCCTCCAAGTGCTTCTCTCCGTCTCCATCTCTGGCTGAGTCGAGAGGTCCCTTGCCTACGTCCACCTCGACCTGCTCGTGAGAGGCCATAGTTCCCGACGCTGCTGTCAACAGGAGAAAAAAAAGGTTGCTCCGCTCTCTCACGCCCGGGGCTTGTCCGCGCAGGAAGACTGCTGTATCCTCTCCAGTCAAAAGGAAGGGCTAGACTGCTGTGAACAAGGTTCGAGCCCACAAACGTGGTCGACCTGTGGACTGGAGGCCGAGGCTAGGTAGAGAGGTGCAGGTACGAGTTTATACTTCACACCGGCCCCATGGATACAGCAGACAGCAGACAGGCACCATCACAAACAATGGAACCCGACAGACTGGAATTCGTTAATGATACCCCCCCCAACCCCAATATCCTCTGGTGGGTCGTTAGGTCCATATGCATATGACAATAACAATCAAATTATCGTCGGTCGCGCAGGCGTGCCGTGGCTGGTGTAGACGGTGGGGTCGGACTGCAGACACAGCCAGCTTCACATAGTACGCACATCTCTATACGCCACCACCGTGTCGTAAAGTGTCTTAAGTCCTAAGAGCCGGGTTCGGTCATGAAGTACAGCATCGTTGCTTGGTTTGTCTGGTATACCGCTGCGGATGCTTTGTTTGCCACCGCACCGATCGGCAGCAGCGCGGGCGCCTCACACCGAGGGAGAATACATCGGCATTTATCGGCAGCAACGCTGCTAGCGTTGCCGAGGCGCAGCGATGCCGGGCAGGGAATGGGTACCCGAAGGCTCTGCGCTGCCGACAGCATCCACAGGAGCTACCCGATGATGCGCGGCGTTGCTGACGACCATCAAGAACTGGTACTGAGAGAGTTTGCCCTGCCTCTGCAAGCTAGCCCAGGGTCGTACGAGAGACGGGTTAGGGCGGAGTGTTTGCGGGAGGGAGGGGAGACGGCTACAGTCGTTCGGTGGCACATTAGCCACGCGGACGAAGCGACAGGCCGTGCTCATGTAGAGGTGAGGGGGGTGAGGGAGAATTGTGCTTGTTTGTTTGGCTGCAATCAACTTGGCGGAGGCCGAGTTTGATGATGGATCATGAAACAGAGGACCTCGTACCAATCATGGTCGCTCTGCTGCTGTGACTGCTGTGTAGCAATCATGTGTCGCTCTGCTGCTGTACGTAACTGCTGTACGCTGCTGTAGAAGTGCATATGTAACCACCAAACAGTTTTGTTGCATCACTTCTACACGGCGTACCAAGTGGCCTGTAAGCAGACGGCTACAAAGCAATGCAGTATGCGCAGTTGGCAGCCCTGAGCGACCAGGTGCATCCTTTGCCTGAAACGAGGCAATGGATACCATCTACATACTGTCTACGCCGTCAAACGCCACATGCAAGAGTGCCCAACGGGTCGTTGCGTCTACGTAGTCCCCTGCTTGTCCGTGGCACCGTCCGCAGCCCGCGGCCGCGATGGCAACGATGCTCGAATTAGAGAAATTGGCATCCTTGCCAGTGATGGGGTTTCGCGTGGCACCCCAAAAACTCCTGCAAATCAGTTTGCCGACAGCAGCATCCTGCCACACATGTGATGTACCGGTCGGTGCCTGACAATTACATCCTTTCCATCTCAATCGCGTGAACAACTCTTGCCCAAATTTTGGTCAGTGGCCGCATTTTGAAAGTGGTGACTTGTCGAATCCTCCTGGTGGTTAGGTCGAGAGTTGAGTCCGAAAGAAACAACACTGCCGTAGAAACGTTCGGTGGCGGATACGCTATGTCAGTGGAGGGCAGGACCTGCCACATCCTGGAGTAATTGTTTTGTGCGACTCCGCATCGAAGCTAATAATGTTCACAGGAAACGCAAGTACAATATTGCTACAGGCTGCGATCAACGGGCAAAAAAAAGCTGATGTTTTCTTATCTGTGATTTTCCTTCCGTTGTTGAGTAGCTCCGATTTATTTCCCTCGGTCTGCATGGGGGTAACGCTGGATTGTGGGTGCCCTCCTACCGTAACTCACCCTTTGATTGTCAAGTTTTTCCTTTTTCGTCAGCAGGACCAAACCAACGCGTTGTTCGTGCTTGGGTGGGTCGTTCGACTCTATGATGGGTGCGTCATCTGTCGTCTGTCTAGCTCTCGTGTTCGCTCTCTAGACGTGCGTCTCTCACTGGGGGTGATCTCCTTGCCTCTTTTCGAACCTCCCGCACTCCCTTCTGTCGTCTCATTTACGTCCCGTTTCAATCACGATCTCTCATGTTGCCGCCGTCCCCCCGCATTGATGCCAACTTTGTTTTGGGCAGGCTGTATTCCTCCTTGCCGCAAGTGTATCGGTAGACAAGATCACAATTGCCGAAGCGCCATGATACAGCTTGGTGCTCGACCTTGAAGCTTTTGGAGAAATTGATTTACCGAAGGGGTGCATGCAGACCGCGTTGGTTCGACGTTTGCTGTGGCAACCTGAGAGCGACGGGAGCGCTGCTGTACGGCACTGCCGCTGGTGCTAGCCTTTTGACTTGGGGCTACAACAGCAGTATCTGCATTCTCCGGAAGTTGTTGAGCATGGGAATGTAGCGAGTTCGTCGTTGCTGCGATAAAGAGGGGTGGCGCGCGCCACGGCTAACGGATAGTACCACAGTATCTGCGGCACCACAACAGATTATCCCTCTGGATTGGACCCTGAGGACCCATGGCGGGCTGGAAAGGTACAAGTTTGGTGCATACCTAAACCTGACGCCACATCGTTGTTTTTTGAAACACTCAAGGAAAAATTCCAGCTTCTTAAAGCTAGGTTTGCGAATATGGGAACGGGTACCCTGAAAAAGAGGCGGAAAATTTATTCTACACGAGAGTATCCCGCCGAAGACAGACAGACCCTTGCAGTGCAGGGAAAGGGGAGTAACAAAGAGGTACACGAAGAGATAAACGATTGCAGGCGCACCATTTATCTAAATGCCGTTTGTTTTGCTTTGCTTTTTGTGCATTGCCGACATCGAGCGCCGTGTCGGTGCTCCCAAAATGAAGACATTGCAGTTTTGATTAGGGGATGACGGGTGTCATCGCGTCTCGCTTCGTGCTTCGCAAATACCTTCCCAAAAGAGTTGTGTGTGGTGAATGACGTGCGAGTTTTGGGGTGACGAGACAGATATGCCTCGCGTCACTGGTGCATCGTGTAGCATACATGCTTCAACTAGTCTCGTGCTGATCGTGTCCTGTTGCGCCGCCACGCCCTCACCTAGGAACGTTGGGCCTCGCACAATGACATTCTGCTGTAGACCAACCTTGAAGTGATTTTATTTCTTCTCTTGGGCTGCTCTGTTGAGGCAACAATAGGGTGTGCTGTGCGGTTTTTGGAAGCTGTCGAGACTGCAATCCAACGCGTATCATTGGTATCTGCTGTGCGACGCAGGAGGTCGACTCGACTTGTGCTCACGGTTGACTTGGTGGTGCAAGCACTTGTAGCTTTGCCAACCAGTACACGGAAAATGTACTTTTCGTGTCTACTTTGAAAAGCAGGGTGTTGTGTTTCGTCAAAAGTTCGAAAGGTTTTCCCCGAAATTCCGAGATTTTCTCCTCACAACTTGCTCACAACAAGGATGCCCCTGCGTGGTCGGGGAACGCCGAGTGCACCACGCAGCCACTGCTGTTGTGTGATGTGATAGTCATACGTGTACAGCCCTGCGAGCAAGAAAACATGTATCTTGCTGACGTCAAAAAGTTGTTGGGATGATAACTTACGTATCACCCACACTACCATGTGTGAGTCGATAATGTCCAACGCTGCAGTTCTGAAGGGCTGTTGCTTGGAAAGCCTCGAGGAAACTCGTTGCCGCCCCTCCTTATTAACTTCTCTCACTCGGACGTCCGGACCTCGGTACTCGGCAATGCTTGCGACCCCATGCATGATACAGAGCGAAAAATATGTAAATGAGGCAACATCTCTGGAAAACTCGTAGCGTAGCGACAGCAGTTAACGCAGCACGAGCACAAGGAGAGAGAGAGAGAGAGAGAGAGAGAGAGAGAGAGACAGACAGACAGACAGACAGCAGCGCAAGACAAACCTGAACCTTCAAACCCCCGCCACCAAAACCCACATGAATCCAGACATGCATGCATAGTTGTATAGAAGTATCACACGTAAGAAGTGGGCAACAAGGCTTCTTCAACCTCCATGGGCCGAGCTAATGTCCTCTCTTTCCCCGAAGGCGTGTGGTCGTGCCGACTTCTTGGCTCACATTTTATGGTTAGGGGTCCAGCTGAGGAAATAAACTATTGTCGCGCGAAGCGCGAAAAAAATATGAGGGGGCATGTTTTCTCAATCCCGTCGAAAATGAGAAAAAAGCGAGACGAGGGAGAATGACGTTTTATCGTGTGGATGATGCTCGTTTTCCGCACGGGTTTTTGCGTTACACTCCCTGATGTGTGTGGCTTTCCGTGATTGCGTTGGAGTTCGCTAAAAGAAGAAAAAAAAGAACGATAAAATTCGTTGTAGCGTATCTAGTATGGGGCACTACGAAACCGCAGTAGGTCGCCGGCAACAACGATTGACTCAATATGCAACGCAAAAGCTGCGAGCCGAAAACGCACTACGTCCTGCAGTAGTCCCTACGGCGGAATCATCTATGTGTGAATTTTAATCGGTGAACTGGGGTTGGCGAAAAATGCTTCCGCGTTCATCTACATTCACATTAAGCACAGACAACGTATGAAGCGTAACGGCCGCTCGGATGTCCCCGTGCGTGTCGGTTGGTAAAGATACTACAAAGCCCTGACGACGGTGAATAAAACCCTCCGGTACAGGTTCGAGTTCACGGTCGAAGATGTAAAGCGACGGCTGAACTCTTTTGACGTCGAAAAGTGAAGGAGCACATGGTGGAGGAAGGTGAAAAAAAACACGCGAAAGCTGCTGGTGTGTAGCCTTCCTCCTTCATGACCCCTGATGATGATACGTCCAGAATATAGCATACCGGAACGTGGAAAAAAACACGCGATTCCAGAATAAATGGGAGAACGGACACAAACAAACACACGCACGCAGTTCAAGAAGAGCAGAAACTAGCGCAAACTCGCACACTGAGAAATAACGTTCTCAACACGCCGCAAATTCTTGCCTACAAACAGCAGCGGCGTGTATCTTGTCACATCCGAATCTACACGATGACTACAAAAACCCAATGTGGTACGTTTTTCACTTGTTTTGTCTTTCGCGGCTGCTTGCCGCCACCGTTGCTCCCCCCCCCCGCATCAGCATCACCATCAACGCTCCAGCAGCTGGCGCAGCATGGGTGGCGGTAGCAGCCCCCCCCGCCCCCTGCTCCCTCCCCCCGCAATGCCAACCTTCCAGAAGATTGCGACGCTCAAAAGAATAGAAGACCAGGTTGCAGCTCTCCAACCGAGCCCTCGAACGTAGCCCCGTCCCCATGCTGTCCAGATTCGAAAGTGAGAGCGGTTGTTCCCGCTGGTACTGCTGATAGTCCTCCCATGTTATTCCCCTGCCACCACCAGCATCAGGTCGTCTCTGGAGTTGCGCTTCTTCTTCTCCCTGGTGTGGACCCTCGATTCTGGCATTCTTTCGCTCAGCCTTGCCGTGAATCGCTTCGAGGAAAGCATGAGCTTGGAGAAACCGCCAGGTACGACAGCGGCGTTCGGCCGCTAACATCACTGCTTTCGTCCACACAAACACACAACGCCTCATCATCGTAGAAACTTCATGCCCCCCCGGCCTCTCCCTCCCATGAGCTCGTGGAGAGCCAACTCCTCTCGCCCGTGCCTACTTAGTCCATGGCGGCCGGCCACAACTCCGGGGGGGCGGGGCAACTCGACTCCTAGTCCGCCGTGACCCGCTGGATCAGCTTCCCAAGATACGTGTTGTAGTGTCCTCCCGGCGCCGCGGGCAAGCCACGGTTCTTCACCATCGTCCTCAGGTTCCACCCTAGGCTGAACTACAGCAATATCGAGTGCGCTAGTGTTGGAGATGCACAGAAGCAGGCCAGCAGGGTCCGCGGTAATCGCCCTGTTGTATGAACAAGTGGCAGCCGTGAATGTAAAACCTTCTAACATCCTTACGGGTGCAACTGACGGGGATGCCTTCCGTGGGCACAGGCCCTACCAAGGATGCAATTAAAAAACATGAAGAGCAAAGAAAGGCCCAGAAAAATCAACACAAACGCTATCACAGAAACTCGAAAAATCATGGTCCCAGACAGCAGCCAGACGCCGCAGGCGACGTGTCGGACAAGGGTTACAGGGGCTTCGCATTATCGGGGTTCCAATCTGAAATGCTACGTCAGTGACGTACATCATGGAGCTTCGATACGGCAATGCAGACTGCTCAGATCTTCTGATCTTAGGGCTGTGCTGTTGAAGGCTTCATCTGCGTTTCAAAAGCCTGCGAAGCGGAATCATCTTTCAAAATAGCGCTCGTCGTCACAAACACAGCCTCCTGAAGTGCGGGTCTACTACTGCTGCAGTCTACTACAGCAGCAGCAGCAGCAGCAGCAGCAGCAGCAGCAACAGCTCATGCCACAGAATGCATGGCTGTTCCTTGGGTTTGTGGTCGCGACCACACAGCAGTACAGCAGTCAGTGTCAAATGTTTACGTTTGCGGATGCTACATGTAGACTAGACTACATATGGTAGTAAATTCTTCGATGCCCCTACATACCTCAGCGACAGACCTAGGCGCGCCAACGCATACGTCGCTACAGAGTTAACGCATGGTCCTTTATTGACAATGTGATAATGTAGCATCTCAGGTCGGGACTCCGACGCCGAATAAGGTATCTACAGCAGTACATGGTTGCCGATAGGATGTGCCCGCTACGATGTACTCCGTACTAGACTAGACTACTGCTGTTACTGCTGTATACTGCTGTTGTACCGCCGCGGTCTTGACCACTGCTGTAGTACTGCTGCTGCTGAAGATGCCTAGTAAAGTTATGTAGACACCATGGACACAAAATACTGCTGCTGTCAAGTCGATAGTCTATGCCCGTACCGCCCTTTGCGGTACAGATCATGCGTCGAATGTGTTTTGGATCTTGACGATGCTGCCTGAACCATCAAACCGTGTGAAGTAGTCTGATGGCGATGTTCCGTTGTTCAGTGTCAGGTGTGCGGATACACAAATCAGTCGACTGAACCAAGAACAGAGGAAGAGCAAACTAACGTCCTGGCGAAATCATCAACTATACCTACGCGCCGCCGGCCTTATCGCTAAACACCTAGACTAGACTGCTGCTGTAGCCTCAAGGCAACACACACACAGCAGACAGACATGTCTAGTCTACAGGGGTATCCCGGCCTTTGTGCACGCAAACATGCTGCAGCAGTCGCGAAGGCCATCTTTGTTCACTCCTGCAGTCGAGAAGGCAATCCTTGTGGTTGCCAACGGCGTACTATATCGCCACGCCACCAGGATGATAGCTCAACCAACCGCCCACGATGATTTGGGATGTTGTGGGTTGGAATGGTCTGTGTTTGCGCAAATAACGAATTCTGGGCTCTGATTGGCTTGCACTTATAAAAAGTTGGTTCTACATGAGGTGAATGGAGCCCTCTGATTGGCTTGAACAAATATAAAAGAGCAAAAAGCCCCCTAGAGATAAGCGGGTGATGCGAGTTCTGGAGGCGTCCATATTGACTCTTCGGTCTATCGGTCATCAAGAATGCGGCGACCCTCAGCAGTCAGGCGATGCGTCAGAAGATGTCATCGATTGTTGCTGTCTGCTGTTTGCTTCAGCTGGCTGCAGCTGGATCTACTTGCTTCGCGAACAGCTGGTGTAGGTGTTGCGCAGCTGCTGCTGCACCCACGACCCGGAAAGCATTCGGGGCGCAACGTGCTGACAAGCAACGGAGGGGCGTCTTCACTCTCCACTTCAGGAAGGTCTGAAGAGCTACTGCTGTATCCCCTTGTCCGTTCAGCCGTGACAGACAAGAAGGAGCAGCGGCGCCGCAAGCATGGGTTTGTGGTGGTCGATTCTGCTGGTGAGCGGACTGGTGGTGAGGCACTCATGTGAGGGGGCAACAGTTAAGATAGGTGAGGCACGGAGAAAGGCAGAGACAGAAATACACACAGAGGTAGAGACGGACAGAGAGATTGGAGGGAGCGACACAAATGCAACACCAGCCTGTCTCCAACAGCAGTAGAAGGCTCAGGCCGGCAGTCATCCTTCCAAACAAGAAACAGCAAACATGTGGTGGACTCAGAAGTCCTGCTCCCTGTTCCATGTCGTTGCATGTGTCCTCGACAATAACGGTAGCCTGCATGGATAGACGTGTAAAATTGTATTACACAGTTTCGGACTGGGGCTACAAATTTTCCGGTTCAACAAGCAGATTTTGAGATATGAAAGTTTCCTGGAAACTTCGTGCAGGTGAAATTTTTCAGATTTAAGCGGCTTCATGTGATGGGCTGTGGGTCAACAGTCCTCCCACGAACTTCCCCTGTCCGCAGGTGCTGTTGTTTTTTCGTGGTGCGCTGCGTGACAGCTAGCTGTTCACCTTGCTTGATGACAAGGGGCTCTCCCTGTTGCTGCTGTTGGTGTGCGTGCGGGTGTGCGCGTGTCCGTGTCTGCGTTGCTTCCTCAACCCCAGCACACGAAATCACACCACACCAGTACGGAGACAGGAAGTGATTACTGTACACTGGCCGACGACAGCCTCTGAACGAAGTGCTATGTCGCGTTTCAAGCGTTCGGGAGAGACGGGGGGTTTGGGACCAGGAGGCACATCCGAGTCAAACGCTCTTCTTCTAGTAGACACCAAAGAAAATACTCTTGCGCGCGGAAGGACGCGCCCGCCTTCACCAGGAGGCCACTACGTGCTCTTTCTCCTCTCTGCTTTTCTTCTTTGCTGGTGGCGTTGCCACCACCTCTAGGTTCGTGCGCTCTTCCTCCCCCTTGCCTCAATCTGATGGGCGTATTGCTGACCTCAAGCCAGCCGGAAACAAACCCAACTTTCTGACCGTGCAGCCTCCCTCTTTCTGTGTTGGTGGCGCACCAACTCCTAGGCCTTTCGCTGGGCGCTGGCCTTCTCTTTGGCCGCGCTGACATGTTGTCAGCAGACTGCTGTGTGTGCGTGCGGTGGTGCGTGTGATGTGTTACTTCNTGGGCGTATTGCTGACCTCAAGCCAGCCGGAAACAAACCCAACTTTCTGACCGTGCAGCCTCCCTCTTTCTGTGTTGGTGGCGCACCAACTCCTAGGCCTTTCGCTGGGCGCTGGCCTTCTCTTTGGCCGCGCTGACATGTTGTCAGCAGACTGCTGTGTGTGCGTGCGGTGGTGCGTGTGATGTGTTACTTCGAACAAAGTTGCTGAATCGAAAAATCGTGAAATTTTTTCCACAACCAAGCCTCCTCGGCTCTCAAATCTGTAATATTTTTCCTTGTTGTGGGTTCTGGCGAAACTGTCAGGAGCGATCCTCAAAACGACGGCTTAACTCAAATATGTTTCCTTAGTTCGGAATTTTTTTGAGTCCGAAACTGTCAAATAATTTCATGTTTTCGACTTTCTACAATATACTGTCGTGTAACGATGATGGGCGCGCACAGGACCTACAGACAGTGTTTTTTGAATACAGACAGCGCCCGCACTGAAGAACTTCGTGCTCAACTTGTGTCAAACATAAGAACTTGAGCACCATATGTGCGGGCGCTATCTGTACGCCGCTTTCATGCCTACTTGACGTTCCCGCACACATGGTCCCGATTTAGCGGTTCATTTGTAGTGACACGAGTTCCTCCGTCCAACCAGGGCATCGCCGCTGATCCCGTCATATTTGATTTGAGTACTGATCGGGGTGAGCTTGTCGGCACAGACAGGCGGTGATTAGGGATTCAACACAGCAAAATCAGAGCGGGCGAAGAACATGTTTCTGCGAGATAACTGTTGATCTGTTCGGGCCAACTATGTGCCGTTTCGGGTCAATTTCGCGCCGTTTGCGAGAATGGCCATGCCCCCCCGACTTCAGCTAGAGCAGTTTTCGGTATTCGATGCCTTCGGCACTCTGTGATACACTCTGTGATTTGTGCCAACTTTGTGTCAAGGCTCTACGAAAATCGTGCTGGAAAAAGTAGCAGTAACTTTATGCTAAACGAGCCCAACCGGCCGGTATTAGGCTGTATGACAGTCCAGTTCCGGCGGGAGTGAGGCATACCCCGTGAACGACTTTATTTCATGGCCCAGTTCGAAGGGGAGAGGGGGCGCGGGCACAACCCTTTCTTCCAATATCCCGTCCTATGCCATAACTGCACATGACGTCGGTTCACACCATCAGGGTTTCTTGTGGACTGGGGGCTGGGATCTCCGCTGTACCCCGCGGTGGCGCAAGCGGTCGCACAGACGGCAGCCAGAGGTTTTGGGGGCTCGGGGGGCGTTTTCGCAAGGGGGGACAAGGTGGAGTGGGTGTGGCACGACTCCGCGTGCGACGCCCAGAAGGTGAGCCGCCTCTGAACGCGCCCTTTTTCAAGCAAAAAGTACCTTAGCTAGCCTAGTTTCGGGAGAAGCCCTCTCTCCCCGTGTACCACCGACCGGCCGTATCACACCCCGAGCACCTCGTGCACACTACCACTAACTCGTTTGATGGTAACTCGGAAGGAGGCCGGAGATGGAGAGAATATTAATAGGATTCGACCCCCCTCCTCGTGGGCCCCGTAGCCCCCTTTTCGTGGCTCCTACTAGGTGGCCGAAGCTGTCTTGCGGAAAGTGTGTGGGCCGTTTTGGGTCGTTTTCAACACGGCTGTTTTTTCCATGGATGTCATCGAAAGTTTGGAAGAAAAATATGGTGCCGACCAAGATTGCCGTACGAAAAAGCATGAGAGATCAATGTTTTCGGGGGACCTCCCGGTACCTACCCTACCCAGGCGTACGCTGCGACGGAAATCCTGTTGGACACGTACGGCGTGGACCTGATAGTTGGCCCGGCCTGCTGCTCCTCGGCGGCGGCAGCGAGCGCGTTGGCGGCCAGAAGAGGCGTGCCGGTTGTGTCGTGGGCGTGTTCTGCGGCCCATTTGTCGGACAAGGTAAAAGGATGCGGACACGAGACGCACACATACATTACGTTGACAAGCCCCACGAGGGGTTGAGAGGGATTTTCTGCTGGATTGACGCTGTGTGCGGTATGGTTCGGGTGGAAATACTCGCCCCCCGGTGTGTTCAACAGACGAGGTTTTGCGTAATAATAACACCCGTAGATGCTTGACTTAACACATGGTCGACTGCGGCGGAACTATGATGTGGCCATCGGCACCACGAAACCGCCGCTAAATTCATCCATTATCACCGCCGCCGCCGCTGCCACCAGCATTTTTCAGGTTTGAGGATTACCCCGGTAGAAGCGCCGGCCAAAGTCGTCCGCAAGAGTAGCTGCAACGGCATCATCGTTGACATCAATAACCCCAAGAAGGCAAAGTCAAGTCTTACCCGTGGCCGACGCGCCTCCCCCGTATGCCTTGTAACCCGACATGACCCTTTCTTGATGGGGCAACGTTCATGAAAACACCACACCGATGCAGCTGCTGCACCCGACATTTCTCCGCGTGGTGGGTGCGAGCGACGAATTCTCCTTGGCGGTGGGCTCGCTCTACAAGCGGCAAGGCTCGGGGGAAGCGGTGGTTACAAGCATCCTTTTTGCCGAAGGGCCGTCCAGGGGGCTCGCCTATGCATCTCTGGCGCAGCAGGTGCGGAAATCTGCGCCCGAATCGTGCCACCCCCCCCCCCCCCCCCCCCCCCCCCCCCCCCCCCCCCCCCCCCCCCCCCCC